TGAAACAATCCAGTCATTTTGTTTATCCTCTTTTTCCGCTGGTTGCAATCGATCTAGTATGGTATTTTAAGTCAAAATATAGTAATGTTGTACTTGAAGACCAATTTATTTGCTTCCGATGGTACGAAGAAATTTTAGCTACTATGCTAGAGTTTGTCGACGAATATTCGAACATGTAAGAAACATTTCCTTCGATATGTTTCGCCATAAACAACGCAAAACTTTCCCGTGTTTCTTCCAGTCTGGCAACGCCGGTGCTGTAGTCTCGTTTTCGTTCCTTGCGACGCACGTTTCTGCGATTCCTGCTGATCTCAACTGTTTGCCCTCTTCCGTTTGCCCAACCGATTCACCGGTGACGAGAAGCTAAGCTTCTCGTCACCGTTGAATTGCTGGCCACCGGGGATACGTAGAAACCTTAATGTAGGGTGCCTTCATGTGCGCTTTGCTTAGGGTGGAGACATCTGGCCATTTTGTTCCCACTTTTACATTTATTATTTGTTCAGAAGCGCGTGAAAGAGCGTGTCCCTGCACGCGTCTGTGGCGCTGACTGTGCTATGGCGGCATTTTGTTTTCGTCGATTTCTTTGCATTTTTGCCGTGAGCGCGTGCTGTCGGCATCGGGTACTACAAAGGGTGGCATCACAATGCTGTCGGCATACTGTCGGCGCACTGTGAACGAAAAAAAAACAATAAAAAACAGTACCATGTCTCAGCACCCGGAAAGAAAGACTTTATTGAAAATAACCCCCTTTCTCCGCAAAGTAATTGCTGCTCACGAGTTGGCGTGCATAGTGTAACAAATTAAACGTCTTAGTATAAATATGTACCAACACTCGTTCGCAAAACATTTTTTTTACTCACCATAAAAACACTTGCAAGGCTTATGTACCGTCATATGTCTTGAACCCCGACTGCTGAAGTGAAGAGTGATGCGTTCGCAGAATGCTGCCGTCGGTTAGTTTAGCAGTCCCTCTGAACTATCGCTTTGCTTGACGTGCTAATAGGTTGATGGTGAGTCATTAATATAACAGCCAGATCGAAATGAATGTTCAGCAGAACCAAGCAGAACTATTAGCCCTCATTAAGCGACGCCGCGGCCATTTTGCTTCTAGGTACTGCTCCTCCCTCGGCGCCCCTGCTCTTCCAGTCACGTGACCTGGAATTCCCCCCTCTAGGGACAATAGTTAACTTTAAACCACGGTTCGCGTTCGAGAAAACGGGCCCTGTACAGAGATTAATTCAATACGACAATTGCAGCCGCACGCGAACAGCACAAATAGAAAAAGAAATACTACAATAGAGAAACTTGCTACGACGTGCCGTGCGGGGAAGCAAACACATGGCTTGGAACCCCAGTGGAGCGGCTTGTTCTATTGGCTTTCAGATCATGAATGCAGAAGCGTTTACTTTTTACTAAGAGGTTCATCTTCTGAGCCGTTCAAAATGCTCTCAAATGTATGCCATTACTGAAAAGAAATCAATATGCTGAAAATATTATTTATTGCTGGGGTGGTGACCAAGAAAATCCATACCTTCAAAACAACGAGTATAACAGGGGGAAACGCAGAGCTCGGAATTAGTAATCGGGTTAGTGTACTGTTGTACTGATGTTTGTATGTGCCGTATATGTGTATTCGCTCAATGTATATGTTCAGCTGATGCTTGTAGTATGCGCAATGTATCTTCATGTGCGTATAATAAAGGTGACCGAACTGCAATGGTATAGCAGGAGCAAATAAACACGCTTTTCCAGCACATGAATTACATTAATTGAAAGTAGCTAGGTTAGCGCCACCTGGTTATCGTGCATCAGTGAGCCAAGTACAGCTGCTTCGAATTTGCTCTTTGGAGAGCGACTTTTGATTTCGCGAATGGTTTACCAGTCCTTCGTGATGTGCGGTTGACGAAGGAATTGTGACTCGAGGAACAGCAAAGGTAAGACGTGAAGTGCGCGAAGTAACTGGGTATCGGTTGTCTTCGTTTAACATCGCAGTGCTGACGACGAGAAGTCTGAGTGACTGCTTTTGAAACGCAAGTTTCTTTACCTGCCGGGGGAAGCTGGCTTCGGAAATAAATACAGTTCGCCGATAGCTCGTGTTATGCTTTCATTTGCTGGTCCTCTCGCCTCGTACAATAGACGTAGCGTCCTCGTTAAGCCTTATTGAGCTCGATTCGGGGCCGCCATAATGAGATGCAAGTGACGGAGGAACTTTGTTCCCCTGCTTTCAGGACGGAAGTTTGTCCCTTTCTAAAGGAACATAGGTTACAAGAGCGTTCCTCCCCTTACGGAGGACTATCGATACCCTTTTTTCTAAGAATGTTGCGTCGGCTGCGTCTGGACGTAAACTAAAACAAAGTATAATATGTTATCTTCAGTAAACCTTTAGCTATGAGTACGGTTCGTCTCTGTCTCCTTCTTTGTCTTTGTTTATTCGGCGCTTTTCTTCCAAGCAGTAAGCACTTTTATGGGGGATCGATGGCCGAGTGGTCTAGCTGGTCTAGCGCACACCAGCTCGGAGCACGTGGAGCGAAAGCTCGGGCTGCAGAACCCAGGATCTTGGGTTCAATCCCCACCCCGGCCCGTTTTGATCTGGATGAGCATCGTACCGGCGTGCGGTCGTGTATCCTATACTATAAAGGCCCCAGCCTAGCGGTTGTACTGCATTGGCTAAATTGCTCAACAGCTGGGAGACTCGTCACCCGTTGAGGCGGACCAAGTTCTAGGCTGTATAAACATACACACAACCCAATTTTTTAAGCACGTTTATTTGAGACGCACTCCAACTCCATACTAAAATCAGCTCTGTATGAGCGGAACTACCCAGTTGTGGCAATGGACGTACATTTATAAGCCCTTACGTACCCAAGTACCTTCATCACCGGTTCACTTCCGAAATGTCAGAAAACATGTTCCCCGAATACAAAGCGTAACCTACCACGATTGCGAGACGCGCCATCCACTTGTGAGCATGAAAAACACACACACGGCATAAATTCTTGCCGTGATCGCAGGATTTGTACTTCAAGCGTTTGCTACGTTGGATCATCTTTTGTAGATGATCATTCAGTTTACAATAGGTGACCTAAAACTCCTGGCCGCTCACTGTATATTCGATAAAGCATCTTTGTAAGCCGCGGTATTAACGTCTGTTTTCTCGTAATAAACAATATATATACACAAATAAAACTTACAGCTCGCGGTACTTTGGGAGCTTCCATGCTCCATTCACTGCTAAGCTGACGGTGCAGTGGAAGGTACGAGCCCTTTTGACCAGTCATTCTTCCATCTTTCGCCACGTGATCGTGCTCCCGTACATACCCACGCGAAAAGAGCTGGGTCAGATGATGAAAGGGAGGCGGTTGATTGCTCTGGCGAGTGCGTAGGTCCCACTGCACTGTCAGCTTAGGAATGAAGGGAGCATAAAATACGAACAACCTGAATCGATGCAGCAGACGACGTTCGGACCGAAATTGTTGTTCGATCTCGCTTCTGTTCAGTGACACGGTGTGGCGAGCATAAAATGCAACCAGAGATAAGTTTTTGTTTTTTTTCCGACATGGCCTCGGGACTGTTGACAGGAAGACAGGCGTCGGGCGGTGGCCGGACGGATGCGTGGTCTATTTTGATGGGACCGTTTTTACGGGCCATTCCAATAGACCCTTTCGAAAGACTACCCTCTGTTTCCGCTGTGGAATCCCTGTACAATGGCGGGCTAAAACTGCAACGCCACGGCGCACTTTATGGCTGTGTTCCAAATCTTACCCAAATGGATCCGAGTTACTCCGGCGGATTGTATCACGTGACAGCACAGATTGAAAAACGCTGGACGCGGGTAGGTTTTAGAACGCCAGGGGTACAAAACCCTTACCCTGGAGTAAGATCGAGTAAATTTTGGAACACGGGCTTTGTGTTGGGTTGGATAAAAAGGCAATAACAAAAACACATTCGCAGAGAAAGGTGACGAGCGCAGTGACGTTGCACTTTTGACGCTGTTTGATTGACTCTTCGGCTCCTAGCGCTGACTGCGCTCCGTCGTTTTCTGTTTTCTGGAATTACTTGCACGTTCCAACATGTGGGTTGCTCCGCCATTGTACAGTGGTTCCGACCTTCCTATAATCGGCATGTGACTTTTGAAAGGGGGTCTAACTTGTCTTCTGCACGCCGCCACCTTTGTCTACTGGAGACTGGAACGCGCTCTGAGCATGCGCAGTAGATGCCTTCTGCGGAATAACGGACGCCTCGCATGCGTCCCCAGCCCACTGACTCGGCACTTTTCGTCTGGTTGATTAGTGATAGAAAGCTGGGTAGGTGTCCTTGTTTTCGGGGTTACTTTTTCTCCGAATTTGGAGGTGTACTTTTTCTTTCCCCCACCCCCCTTTCTTTTTTTTTTTGGGGGGGGGGGGGGGGGAATTTTATCCGCCCCGCTTTGGTGTTTTGCTGTGTTAATTTTCCGGGTCGGACGACATAAATCAGCGTTTATCACGGCTTACGTTGAAGCAAACGAGGCACAGTCTTTGGATTTCACAAACTTTATGAAACATGCGCGGGACCCGAACACTTGGAGAACGTCCCGGTGCCTATAAGAGAGTGAAAAGATTTAAGGGATGTGGTTCCTGATAAAGCAGCAGCGCGGACACTTCAATACCGGCCATATACCGGATTAAAATAAAAATGAAACTATGGATGGAGATTTCTTTCCGTAAAACTTAAAGTATCTTTTTTTTTTTTTCTTTTTTTTTTTTTTTTAAGGACAGCATTTAATTTAGGATATTTTCTGTTTTCTTCGATTTTGATGAAACCAAATCGAGGCTTACATTTCGGGGTCTCTCGGCAAACACAGACATACTGTTTATAAACAAGTCAGCGTTTAGAGTAACGCAACAAAGACCAAACAGTGACAAAACAATATAAGTGATATTCAACAGGGTGACTGAGCGTTACAGCAGTTTCGTTAAATCAACATTAATGTTTGTTTTCGTCTTTTCTATTCTTCTTTTCAGATCAACTTCAGATCGTTATTCATCGCCTGGAGACATCGCACCCTGACGAGGACGCCGTGGGTACGTTTTCCTCCGATTGGTAGGGCGCGGCTTATTATAATCACACTTGCTGCTTCGTGATCGGTCCTTCGGCGTTCTTATCGGCTAATGCAGCAATCTCATTGGCTGCGGTGCGATAATAGATGATCGGGACTCGCCACGCCCCGCGTTTCTTATTAAGCTGTCGGCGACTATGCGCCGAGAAAGTGAGGGAGAGGAGGATACGAGAGCGCGCGGTGACGTCACAGCGTCGAGCTCTGATTGGAATGTTTAGTGGGTAGACGTGAAGCTGGCAGGTTATGTCACCGCTGTACGCTCGCCCAGCGCGTTTGAATGCGGGAGCCGAAACGCCAGACGGCTGGCGCTTGGGCGTTCTAACCTGTTCAACGACTGCAATGAAGACAAAGGCTGCACGTTGTCTCCATTACACTCGTCGAACGAGTTCAAATGCGATAGTCAAACGTCGGACGCCAGCGTTCCGCGTTCTAAGGCATTCGGCAAGTGCAGGTCAACCCGCGGGCCCGCGACAGTGTTTTGATCATTCCTGTGGTCAGTTTCCTCAGTTTTTCACCACCGTCGTGTACCGTCGTGTACAAACAAATGCTTGAAGTTGAACTGGCCCAGCGTTTGGCGTACGTCTATCTGCGTTCCCTTGACTTGGCCGTTGCGTCTTTTTCGCACCCTCCAAGTGCCAGCAAAATCGTGATTGTTTTCGTTATTCGCTGTGTCTGATATGTAGCCACGAGAAGAAAATGGTACTTACTGCATCGCGCGTAAGTGTGGAGCAATCCACGACGGCGTGAACCATGACGGTGCGGAGACGATAGCAGACGACAGATACACAACCCAGCGAAACCGAAACCGAAACTACTCGTTGACAGTCTCGTGCTACGAGGGTGTACTTGAATCCTTAGGGGCGCTGCTATTTTCCGTATTGCCTATTAGAGGTTTGACGTCTCATTTCGTGACTCAAGGTGCTTGAATGAACCTCTCCAATATTTACGTCATACTGCATCACCACGGGAGTGGGGCATGTCATTTGAAAGAAGGTGATTTATTTCGCGTTGTGGACGACAAACAAGACGCACCTTCTACTGTGCACAGCAAAACAAACGTGCGCGCCTTTAAAAACAAAAACAACAACAACAAAAAAACATGTCATATGTTGTCCACAGCAGAAAGCGTGCCCTGTGTCGACAGCCCTTCAAGCGACTCAGAATGAACACTTTGCAAGTTGGCGACGACCAGATGCCCTGTAGTAGAGAACATCAATGTTTTCTTTCGGTCTCGTCAGCCAGGGAGTAACGACGAAATTGGACAAAATGTAATTGACAGATCATATAACTGTGTTGATATTCAAGAGCTCGAAGTCGCGCTTGTGGTTTCTTGAGTCGTTTATCCCGATGTTTTTGTAAGCTAACTCAAAAAATAGTTTGATATCTGTTGTTGTTTTTTTCAGGCTCTAGAAGTTCACCAGAAAGTGTCTTGTGGAGGCGAGCACTCGTCCGAAGCAAAGCGCTGGTCAATGCCACCTCTGAGCTCTTTGACTGGGGCATCGTGAGGTATCAAAAGGTTCAGGACCCTCTCCATATGAAGGGTAAGAAATCATTAATGAAAATACCTTTTCAAAATCACCCGTTAATACTTTTCCAGCTTTATTCAAGGTTGTCGCTGAGTCCAAGGAGAATCTAAAGGGCTTGACTACTATATACCTCTCAGGGAGGGCGGAAGTTGTCTGGCACATCGCTATGGGGTCACTGACAGCTAGAAAAGCGCGGGGCGTGGCTCATTCTGTTAATTCCCGCTTCATGCTCCGTGATTGGTTCTTTGGCGTTCTTATAGGCTAATGTTGCATCTGATTGACTGCTGAGCGACAATGAGATGCTTGGCATCAAAGCACGGGGCTCTCTTACTTAGCTTTGGCTTCGCTCGCACTCAACTTCTTGCAGTAAATACCGCTTCGAAGTATTACTTGACCCCTATAACCTGTGAAACACGCGTCATTCGTTCTAATGAAAAGAAAAACGAGGACAGTGCTTTCGTTCATTTAATGAATGCGTGCAATTCTAGAAATAGGGGGAAAAACACCTCACAATTAGGTGAGAATACAGAGGTTGGGTCTGTATTCCTTTTGTTCTAGTAATATTGCTATCAAAAATATTTTTGTTTTTTTCTTTATAAGCACTGATGGGGTCGCAGAAGTGGAGAAAAAAAGTTATAAAAAAAAACAAAAAAACTCTTCTTTCATCAACTAAGTCCCCTTTCTGCACGTCGTGTCGTAACTCGTAAGTGAACAGTTACATATTCAAAGCGAAGTTCCATCTACAGTGTGTTGCAACATTGTAAGCAATAACTGTATAGGGTTCCGTGTTTTCGGTAATTATTTTTCTTCAAAGGGTTATTTATCCGTGTTTATTTTTTGCTTTGAAGTCAGTTTATTTTCGGTATCTAATTTCAAAGCCAGAAATATATCGGTGTTTATCGGGCTTGTGTTGTAAACCGACTGTATAATTAGTGAAGAAAATAATATTTATAACTTATAAATTGTAATATTTTCGTCAGTAATGCTGGTAAAGGTTAGGGAAGGAAACAGAGCAAGGAGTTTGCGGTTTCGATAAAAAAAAAAAAACAGATAAAAAAAAAAGGTAGGGTAAAAGGTGTATTCTGTAAAGCAGACAGGTTTCTCTTTTTTTTTTTTAATGTTTGCTTTATTTTGGGGGGTTTTCGGCTTTTACCGATTCAGAGAAAACCGCCTGGGGAGTTAATTTTTATTTGTTTATCGGTATGTACCGAAAATACGAAACCCTAGTTATACCTCACAATGTTCTAGGGTTCTGAACTTTCTGGGTTTATTTATTTATTTTTTTCATTAGATTCGCTGTTTTTCAATGTTGATTTTCGATGTCAAACAAAAAAAAATATATATATTTTTTGCGGGTTCGATGTTGAAGAAAACAGGACACAGGCATGGGGTTCCCAACCCCCAAGTGCGCATGCGCGTGATCTGAATGCCTGCAAATCGTCTCGGGACCAACACACGGCCCTGACGTGACGCAGCTGTGGTGGCGCTGTCAACGTCACTGCGCATGCGCAGACGCTTCACTTAACGCGATTCCGGTTTCTGCGCATGCGCAGTGCCCACACCTGGTGTGGGCATACGCGGGCTTGTTTGTAAACAGTCCGCTGGCCAACAGTAAACAGTCCGCTGGGCAACGTTACTAAAACACTCAGTTGGGAAACTCGCCGTCGAAACCTGGGCCGCTGGCGTCCACCGAGACCGAGCTAAATGCGACAACAGCGCCACTCTTTATCATTTGTCTGTACTGTGGTCACCTTGAGCTTTTTGAAAGCCTGTTTTTGCGTAAAAACAAACGAAAAAAACTCTTTTTGTATGAAATTTATTGGAGTTTAGTACCAAAAGAGGGGCGCGTTATGTTTTTAAAATCTTTAGTTTGCAGGGTTTTGCGGTACAATTAGTATTGTTTTTATACAACCATGCCTCAGCGGGCCTTTCAGGTAGCACGTCCCGCCCTAGGTGCATTTTAACTTCGGTAGGTCGACGCGGCGCGTCCGCCGGGGAGACGGGGGTGGCACCCCTGTAACCTCTACCGCTATATCTGTTCTTAACGCCAAAATAGAAGTCACGTGCTGTTCCTCGAGTGGCCGCTGCGGGAGAAATGGTGTCGTTGTGTTCGTCATTAGCTCGGTGCTCGGAGACAGTTTGGGGCCACTTTTTCAAAGCTGTCTCTATGGGAGTTTCCCAACTGAGTGTTTTAGTAACGTTGCCGCTGGGGTTGGTCTATTAGCCCCGAGAAGTTCGCGTGGCGCCCCCTTACGGCGAACCGGGGTGGCGTCACGGCGAGGAGAGAAATTTTCCCTGACTCGCCCCGCTCGCCCTGTGGAGGCTGTGACGACGCTAGCTGACGGCGCGATCGTTTCTATTTAATTTTTTTTGTGTTTTTCGTAGGAAATGTAAATTTTTATATGAGCCTTTATTTAGGTATGGCCTGTAGCTACAGGCGAAACTTCAACCAACGTTTTAAGCATGGTTGACAGGGCAGGCAACGCATGAATCACAGCTGGTATATGAAAATAAAGAAATATGGCCACAATTGCAGGAGCATCACTATAGATTTACATTTTGCACAATAAATGCTGCTGATGGTCTGAATGAATAGGCAGGTTATGCATATTATTTTTTTTTGTATCTCTGTTTTTAAACAAGATCGCCGAAGCAGAAAAGCTGAATGCTGCTCGAGCAACATGTTAAGTACAGTCTGGGCCATGAAGAGAGAATTACAAGTAAAACTGCCCAAGTGCAGGGGCAAAGTAAAAAAAAAAAAAACAAGGAACATTTATTATATACATTGCTCGCATTTGACCTTTGCTGGATTCGGATAGTATTTTAATGGACTACACGGGTGGTATCTGTGGACTTGTTTATATCAACTCTCAAGTAATGTATAACAAACGTAAGCGATGGTGTCTAGCTCGTTATTAGCCTCTTAAGGCCTAAAATTGAAATTTTACTTAAATCGAATTGTCCTGAAGCTAAAATACCAGAAGCTTTTCTCACGCAGACTGTCGCCCTCCACAGGTTCCACATTTTCTGCTGCTAGTGCTGCATCTACCACTAGACAGACGTTCGAATGCTTGCTTTTACTCCTGTTTGCCTCTGATGTCAGAGAGTCCAGCTCTAGGGAGTTTGGAGGTTGAGGAAGCTTTTGGGTACCTGCAGCAGTGTCCCTTTTAATCGGAAATGACAATTCAGACTAAACGGTGTATTTTCGGAATACCCAAGGCTGGAATAAAGAATGTCAGGAAAAAGTAAAGTATAAACATTGCATATTACGGCACTATTGCCGTGCATAGTTTGGCAGTTCAATACATATCATACAGACAACTGGGGGCAATTCGGCCGTTTTTGCTGCTACCATACAAACTAATTTCCAGTAATTGTGCAGCTTCTAAGAAATATGCCTACATGCGTGTGTAAACTATATAATTAATTCACGAAGAAGCTACATTTATTGAAAACAACCCTGTTCCACGAGCACTTTCAAGATCATCAGACGCAGGGCCTTTAAAACATCTGCGAACCAGCGCATGCAGAGTGGCAGCGCAGAGTCAGGGTCGCGAGCTAATTTGCCGACCACCCAAAGGCCTATGATATAAATGCCACTTCAAATGCCTTGAAAGCGGGATGTAATATCGTCTTAAATCATAAACGTGCAAGGAACAGAATTCCAGCGTCTGAAACACTCGCGCCACCGCTTCACCGACCCCTCGCAAGATTGCCTTGCGTCGTGTGGAGGAACGGGGAGGTACATCGGCGGAATTGCCTCCGCCGATAGCTTTCGGGATTTTTAACCTAATTTTAAAGTTAAAAGGGACAAGCAGGCTTATAAAATGTACGGAAGCACGTCAATATCGGCTTAACTCAACGTCTTGCACACCAGGTAAACGAAGTCCAGCTCCTCGAAGAGCTTGCGGCACACAACGCCAAACCAGGAAACCGGTGCTGGAAAGCGAGCCGATGCGAGATCGCGGAGCGGAGTACTCTTCCTGACGTCACGGTACACCTCACCCAATCAGGGCGCGGCGACCGCAGCGACGCTTGTGTTCGCTCTCGGGGCTAATAGTCCGTTGGCAAAAACTCAAGAAGGCAGGGCGAGGGAAAGGAAGGCCGGAAAGTAGAAACCAGACGGAACGCTGGAGAAGAGAAGGGGAAACCTCCTCTCTCCAGCGTTCCGTCTGCTTCCTTCTTCCCAGCCTTCCTTTCTTTCGCCCGGCCTTCTTGAGTTGCAACGGACTGTAGGTAAGAAGTGCTGTTTCCGAGGAAAGAAGCAGCCCCAATGACACTTCGGTGTGGGTTGTGATTCGCATGTGCCGGTTGAACACAAAACGAAGCTGCAGTTAAAGGGACCATGAAATTTGTATTGAGCGGGGATAAAGAATTTTAGGTCTGCATGGTTAAAGCGAGAGTGTTGCAATTATGAGTACTCAAAATAGAGAAAGTAAAACAAGGAGGACGTTCACAGACGACCACACACTTTCAGTCAGCAACGACGAATGTTTATTTCCGGGCATGGAAAATTCGCGCGTTAACCATAATCTAAATAAATAAAAAAAAAATTGGGCGAGGGCAGAAGGGAAAAGGGTTATAATCGCAAGGATAGATAAGGACTGAGCCACCGTACCGTGACTGTCCATGTTTATGACTTTTCTAGTTCTGGTCTGGTAAATTCCCTTTCACGTCTTGTCTGCAGAAGGAACGCGTCTCATCTGTATCGTTAACCTTGAGATGACGTCAAATAAAATTTATCGGGCATGGACTAGAAAAATGATAGAGCATGGTCGGTCACGGTACAGTGGCTGAGTTGTTATCTGCCCTCTTGATTATAACCCTTTTCCTTTCTGCCCTCCCTCGTTTTTATGCATTTCCTGGTAAACGCGCGAATATCTTTCGCTCGGAAACAAATGTTCGTCGTTGCTACCTGAGTGTGGTTGTCCGTGAACGTCTTCCTTGTTCTTTGTTCTCTCTATATTAGATGATTTTAGATCGGGATTTTACTAATCGCGTATCGTTAAGAGGACAAAAAAAAATTTATAATCCACGAGAGTAGAAAAACGTGGGTTGTGTGTATGTTTATATAGCCTAGAACTTGGTCTGCCTCAACGGGCGACGAGTCTCCCAGCTGTAGATGAGCAATTGAGCCAGTGCAGTACAACCGCTAGCCTGGGGTCTTTAACGTCCACCACGCACTAATGATACACGACTGCACTAGCCGGTACGATGCTCATCCAGATCGAAACGGGCAGGGGCGGGGATTGAACCCAGGATCCCTGGGTTCTGCTGCGCGAGCTTTCACTACACGATGGTTTGAAAGCCACAAGCCTGCGTTTCGATACGAAGATTTGAAAATACAGTCGACTATTTCTTACCTTCCTTCCTTGGAAAGCCCTCCGCCTTTTCACAGTGATGCGTCCGCAGCGCCGAAGCACGTCAGCCGAACCCAGCTCGCGCATTTGGCACGAGCACAGCGTCACTCGGACGTATGCGCTTGTCAACAATCAATTCGTCGACGAATATTAGGATTCGCGTTCGTGGCCAAGGAGGTGCCGTGAGAACACTTATTATCGCTGGCGAATGACATGTTCCACTGTGTGCTTAAAAAATCACGGTGGAGGCTTGGAGTCACCGGATCTGGTGAAATACTACGACACGACCAAGTGATTTCTCTATTCTCTTCAGAGGTGAGCTAAGGTGGAAGGAGTTGAAAAATAATTTCACAGTCCCTTGACTTGGATGCTGAACCGAAATTAGGATTCCGCAAAATAACACCGCAGAAGCGTTGAACGGGACTCTACGAACTCCGAAACATCACTCCTACATCGATACCTCAAACGGATGGCCGTATTTTTGGAAAAGAAGGGCGCGATCAAGCGAAGATTATGACGTCACGATTCTCTTTGAACAGCTGAGAACGAGGGGAAGCGGCCTCGCTTCCCTCCTCCTCACTTCGGTTCACCTGCTGGAGGGGACGGAGCGAAGAGGAGAGGGAATGAGAACCGCGACTTCACATGTCTCGTCGGCCTCGTCGGCCGTAGAGCCAGTAAATGAGCTACGCTTAGAGTACCGACACTCTCTTCCTCAATATTGTTGTGGGCGGCGCCATCTCGGTGCTTGTACAGAGCAGACGCAACGGCCTATCGCCATGATTCAAAAGTGTGACTTTCTCAGCATTAGGTTCGGTGTTAGAAAGCTCATGTTATATTACTTTGCTCTGTCGCGAACTGTTTAAACATTCGTAGAGGACGAAAAAGCGTTTCTTGTGATTGCAGATAAAGCTTCAGATAACTGGAAACCATGATTTTAAGCCAAAAGATGGGTAAGTGTCGCTACTCTGAAGCGTAGCTTATTTATTGGCACAGCTTTCTTACACCAGGTGTAATACTAAGGAAGTCGCACTTTTGAATCGTGGTGATCGGCAGCTGCGTCCGCTCTGCACAAGCACCAAAATGCCGACGCCCCCAGCAATATCGGGAACAGAGTGCCGATACTCTAAGCGTAGCTCAATTAGTGGCTCTAAGTGGCATTAGTCTGCCGTGTTCAGTCGCGCACTTCTTTTCCAAAAATACGGCCATCCATTAGAGATATCTCTGTGTGAGGGATGTTTCTGTGCTTTGCAGCGTCCCGCCAATCGCTTCAGCCTTGTTTGGTGAGCTCCAAATTTCAGGGCAGCATCCCTTTAAATCTAGATTGTTTTTTCTTCTAGATTTCTCTTGGGTCGGGAATTAATTTCAATGAAGGAAGCTGGGGGTGCTCTAACCAACTGTGTTTATACAACCTGACGTTTCGCGGGCTTCTCGGTCACTTGTTCACGGGTGATTTATTTGGCTGGGTGTTAGTCTTTCTCTTCTTCTGTTTGTCGTTGCCGTTAAAATCGTTCTTCTTTTTGTGACTCCTCGAAGCCCGTGAATATAGCTGCTTCGGAGGGTACCAATCGACCGGTTCAGGTTGTTCTTGGTATGCTGAATATGCCAGGACTCTAAAAAGAGCCGTTTTTTTTTTTCAGTTTCTTTCGGTGCCCAGTACGACACTGCTGTCGAAGTCGACGACGCGGTTTTTCTTTTCTGCATGTTCCGCGAGAGCGTTTACTTGTGTGTCCTGTTTTTCTTACATCATATTTGTGTCTGCGTTGACTTTTGGGGAAGGTCTTGGTGTCCCCACCTATGAGGCGTTGCGGTCGGCGCAAGGAATACGATAAACAAGGCCGGGCTTTTACTTTTGGATGACGATCTTTTGGAAATGGAAGATTATGGCCAATGGTCGGGGAAACGGGCCCATGTGTCACTGCTATGCATTATGGTTTTGAGAGCACGGGTGAGAACTTCGCTCGTGCCTCTGAGGTACTCACATGCGATAGTCCGCGATAGTCCGCGATAGTACATGGAGGGATGGGTTTCTTTCGGCTGCAGATGGGTCACGAAGTTCCCTGTGGATACTGTTTTCGAATCTTGTTGGATATGCGTTTTTTCGAAGGTCCCATTTTGTAATATCAGCTTCCTCTTTAAGTGCCTTATCTTTGGAACCATTAGCCCCGTGCGCGGCCGAAAGCGTCGCTGTGGTCGGCCTTCCACGATTGGCCGAACGCTGACTATGACGTCGGAAAGGGGATTTATCATCGACGGAAATAAGAGGAATGAAAGAACTTTAATTTTGACGGTGTTGGCAGTGTTCCTTTGAGAGCGCAATGATTTCAAGCTTCCACCATGCTAATAACAAACACCATCGAACTTGTTGTTTGTAAGGTAATGACGTCACAAAAGGGAACCGTAGGAGGGCGCCACTAAGACATCTCGCCGCTAATAGCCTCCAGAATAGAGGAGGCTGTGGTGGAACACGCCGTGATGGCACGTCGAAATGCTGCCGAAACTACTGAAGATTTGTGAGGTGTGGGGTGGTCTGATGAAAAAAAAAATTACGTATCGTCCGGTGCAACGTTACTGGAGCAAGCTCAGTTTCGTAGCTCCCTATTCTCGTCTGCCGAGGCGAGTGGCCCAGGTGGCGGTCACGAGAACTAGCGGCCCTGCAGTCGGATCTCGCTGCCCTGTCTCACGCGTCGTCTACTACCACCGTGTTCAGAGCTTCCTTTTCTTTTTCTTTTCTTATTTTTTTTTACTCCCATGTGTATAATAGCAAAAAAAAATGATGAAGATGAAGTGTAATACACCACAGAGATCAGAGTCAGCGCATTGTGAGTTTTCTTTCTTTGAGTGTTTGAAATTTATTGTTGTGCGTGTCTGTTTCCTTGCGCTGTGAAGTGTTTGTGCGAATAGACCGATCTCACCAGCCAGTTTGACCACGCCACCGCTGCCGCAATGCATCGAGTGAGCTTTAGTCTTTCTGCACGTGCGACAACCTCGCTGGAGCTCTGCGCGTGTGGAGCATGAGGCGGCACGAGCCGTCTTGTGCACTGCTGCCTGCCTCCTGCGAACTAAAGTTATGGCGGCGTCACGCATGCGCCGAACGCTTGTTGAGATCGGTCTAAATTGCCAACTCGGCCAAGCTCAAGTATTGGCCCAGGTGGCGATCCCAGTACCTTAGCGGGCTAAACAGCTTCGCGGGCTAGTCAATCCGGAAGTAAGACTCGACTGCAGCGCTGCTAGTTCTCGTGACCGCCGCTGAGCCCACGTCGCAGGCGGAGCTGTGAAACTGAGCTTGCTCCAGCAACGTTGGTCGGGTGTGCGTTGGTTAAAAGATTGCCTTTTTTTTCAGAGATACATTTAGACATGGAGTGCAACCGTTAGAATCATGTTATACTGTGAATCGAATATTTGGTTCGAAGGAATTAAGGTGTATGTGTAGGCGGCCAACTTCGCTGGTTTTCACAACGCAGAAGCAATCGTCTACGTAGCGAAGAAGCATTGTGGGTGTCGAAAAGAACGTACTTAATGCCTTTTTCTCGATGGCTTCCATTGTGAGGCTGGCTACCGTGACGGACAGATCAGCTCCTACGGCGGTGCCAATATCACTCTAAAAAAAGCCCGTGAGTCTACTTTCACGCACAACACTCGGAGAGCCAATCACTGCAACTTATGGAGGCAGCCCAGCGAATGGCAATGCCGAAACAAATGTTTAGACCAAAAAACGTAGTCTGAGTTGTGACATTAAGCAATGCAAGCTTGACGTTTTGCATTGCTTAATGTCACAACTCAGACTGCGTTTTTTGGTCTAGACATATGTTTCGGCATTGTCATTCGCTGAGCTGCTTCCGTGAGTTGCGGTGATTGGCTCTCCGAATGTTGTGCGTTAAAATAGACGCAGAAACTTTTTTTTAGAGTGTACGTTGATTGTAAAAAACTACCAACGAAAGAGAAGTAGGTGTTCCTCAGGCACAGTTCTAGTAGGCGGCATATCTCGTTCACGGAGAGCTGGGTTCTTTCAGGGAGAGTCGTATCCGACGCAAGTGCCGTTCCGATGACGGACACTGCGAGCTGAATGAGGATACTTGTAAACAGGGACACTACATCAAAGGAAAGGCGAATCTTACAATGCTTGGAACATGTAGACAATTTTTGTATTACCAAGGTGAGAGGACAAGGAAAAAACACGCCTCGGACAGTGTCGAAAGACCGATTTCTTATTTTGTATGACGACTTAACTGGAGGTTATAATTTATACTTTTACCTATTCTTTATTTCTGTCAAGTCATGCTCCCCTTGGTACGACCCGGCAGTTGGAGCTTTGATTTCCCGGAACTACACGTCAACAACTCCCTCGTAACCTCGCCGGGTCGGGAGAGGACCTTCTCGGAAGCGTTCTCGGACTCCTGCGTCTACCAGCTAACACGGACAAGGTGGGTGTACTTTGTGTTCGAAAGCTTTTTTCCACCTTTTTTTTTTTTTTTCATTATTTTTGTTCTTAGTGAATATGCTTGGAGGAAGAACTAAAATAAAATCAAACGCGTCAGGCAAAGAAAAAAAGAAAGAAAGAAGAAAAACGCAGTTGGGGGTGATCTCAGTGTACAAAATGTCTCTAAACTTAGGGCCACGTTTGCAAAATCAGAGTGAAGCCGATATTCGATGCTTAGGTACGTTGACCCTGGTTCACGCTGTTCATGTGTCATTGAATATTGAAGGTATATATGGTGACAATGGTTCAAGCGGCGGATCAGGCATTAAATATCGAGGTGCAGTGGCGGTTGTTTACCTTGTTGATTAGGCGTTTAATGTGGAGCTAAGGTGTCACTGGTATTACATTGTTGGTGAGAACGAATGCCAACTTGAGGTCTTTGAGATACGTCGCGCTGTGAGGAATGCATCAACGTACGCCAGTACTGTGCTCACATTGAGTAAGGTTTTTGCCGAATGCGCGCCATCTGACCTCGATACTTCTGTGCAGAGTTTTAGGAGTCACTGGCGTGTGGATTTAGAAAGCACTTTTTATGCTTGAGTGCTCGCGTAAAGGATTTTTTTTTTTTATATAGCTGAAATATTGAGCCTGCGATTTTGTCATTTCGGTAACACTATACATAAGTTTCGAGTTGAAGTATACATTCTACGGGTTCGGTTATCTGGTAAGTCATCCATATTTTTTGTTTGGGAGGAGGCACAACTAACGCGGACAAATATTTACATCTAAATAAAGAAAATATAAAAGAAATTATTGCATGACGAGCGCTGACTTTTTAAGCTTTCCCGAAGGACCGCATTATTGGATATCTTTTCATGTACTACGGCATTTCTTGACCTAAATGCGTGCTATAATCTTGCAATTAATCCCGCCAGTTTAGTTTTCCCTTTTGTTCCTCCTCTGAAAGATTCAAATTAATCCTTGTTTCTTCTTTTTGCTGCGTTCTGCATTAAAGTATTCCTGAAGACGAAACCGGTATAAAAGCAACAGTACCGCGCTGCTTTTCCGCCAGGGCTCGATCCTGCTGCTGCTATGCGAATATCGACTCCGCGCGACACTTTTTATACTGCATCCATTGTTTTGGCACAAGTTCGCCACATTCAACTTTCAGTTTCCCTCGTACATCCTGCCCCGGCAGCCGCAATCTGTGACTATATGTTCGAGTATTTTTAACGCATTCAGCCAGTGCCCGCGGTATACGCTCATTGTAACGCTGAGCTCGTCGCTTCAACGAAAAGTTTCTGGTCTTTTGTCTGCTGCCACCTGCAGCTTTCGTGATTGGAAAGCGCGATTGTATGGATTTGTGAAGCGTCAAACTCGCGCGTGCTCGACCGAGGCTGTGTATGGAGATAAACTGAGAGAGAGAGAGAGAAAGGAGAAGAGGAGAGCGAGCGGTGGCATGAGAAGGCCAAGTTCCGATTGGAAGTTTAGTGGGTAGGCGCAAAGGGTAGCCGCCATTGTCTCTACTCCTTCCAGTTAGAACGAACAAGAATGCCATCTGCTCCTGTCGGAGTTTCTCGCGTTGGCACGCCGTACGCTTGCGTTCGGCGTTGTACGTGTTTGACCAGCGGCTAGAAAGAAAGGCAGTTATAGTATTTGCGTCTTCCCGTTCTCCTTACAATCGGAACGCGGCGCCCTGACTTGCCCCGCTCTCATCTTCCCCTCTCCCCCAGTTTCCTTCCGTATAAGTCTGTATTACAATATAGACATCGAGTGTATATTTCTGCGAAATCTGTGGCACAGTTGCTAGAGTACAGAGCTCTTGAGGCCGGCTTGCTTGTCGGCGTGCATAAGCGGAGCACATAAACTTGCGGATATCGGTAAAAATACCTAGCCTTCGATGCAGCTCCCCCCTCCCTTTCATTAAAAAGTATCGAGCAGCTAAATAGATTTAGTAGGTGGTGTCAGAAGTATTTACATTCGCGTTTACGACTACAGAAAGCTTGAGAAATAAAAGCCTCGTACCTTTGTGAAAACAATAATTTAACCCCGCAAACAAAAAATAGCAGTGCAATTTTTTTTTTTTTTTTTTTGTGCTTTGATTTGCAATGTTTACGTAATCAAGAAAGTTCCGTAATGTATGAAAAAAACGTAGGGTGTCTTCGTATTCATAACGGTTATTCACTTACTAAATGAAGCGTGCGACACCTAAAAAGGGCGCGCCGCTTGGAAGCCATAAGTGGCTCTGTTCAAAGCATTGGAAGCTGGTTGGCAAGGCTACCATCGACAGCGTCCGCGTTGTTGCGTGGAACAGTGAAGCGCTACCCGCTGGGGCCTCTTCTAATGCGCCCGTAGGGCCTTGGCAGCGGCTGTGCCATGTTTTCACGTTTTTTTGTTTATCTGCGCTGGGATATAGTTTCTAGAAGACGTTTGTGTGCTGGACCAGCCGGACGGCACAGAAATCGATACTGTACAACATTCATCGGCGCGAGTAATTGAGAAAATCCACATGAGAAGCATAGTTTTCCCTCCTTGTATTATCACAATGTTCTTCGTTTGCCAGCGAATCGAGTACGCGTATACTGAAATTAAGATGATCGCGGCGATTGTCGCCAGCACATTAAGGGGGTTTGTGTTCTTAAATTTCCAAATCTCGCGTTAAAAAAAAAAAATTTATTGCATAGTGGGGCCCCGAACGTTTTGAATAACGCTGTGCTCAGGTAAGTCTACATTCGTTTCAATCAAAGGTTGGCTGCTGCCTGCTATACACAGGATGTCTATGCTGCAGTCCGGCCGTGCTCAATGTGAAATGCTTCTGCTAGGAGCCGCACCGTCACGCCACTGTCTTCTTGCACGCTTCCAATAGTCGCTGTTCACTTAAGAGACGTAGGATGTGGGGAGACTCCAGCATCTTGATATACAGGGTGTGCGGGCAAATAATGGCCAAACTTCCGGGGAGAATGTATGGCACTTCCTGTTGTTGCTTGTTTTGGGGGACCCTCAATGAGTAGCACCTACTTTAGAAATCTCACCGCCGAGGACTAACTGCCGTACCTCCTGAAATGTACTAATACGGGATCAGCGTGCCCTCTTGGGTGAAAAGAAAGAGCGCTTGTTCCTCGAAGAAATGACAAATCTGCCGGTGGTATCGTGGGCGCATCTTCGGGACTATACCTATTCGACTAGCCTAATCCATGTACCTCAGAGCGACTTAGAAACTACAAATCTCTAAACGCGTTCAACTTCTTCGTGAACGGCAAGGCATCGGCGGTGGGCTACCACCTCCCCCAGGCGCCGAAGATACGTGCTATAGCTTCCCCGCAGGGGGCACCGAGCCGGTATTTGTTTTAGAGCGCAGCTCTTATACTTCGTTTCACTTTATCTGCGAGCGAAGCCAAAGCTAGAAGCGCGAGACCAGCGCTTTTTGCGCTTCTCCCCAGCTCGCGCGCTCGAGCAAAACCTGACCGCACGGAGCTTTCGTGCTTGCGCTTCCAGCTTTGCCTTCGCTCGCACATAAAGTGAAACGAAGTATAGGCGCCCGTTTCCGGCTTGAGCGGCATCGCCGTCGACGTTACCGCGCGTTGCATGCAGCTCAGGTTACATGCAACCCGCTTTGCATGCAACCCACCGGCGTCGGCGTAACCACGCGTTGCATGCAACCTAGGTTGCATTTAGTCCAAGTTGCATGCAACCCGGCGACGCCTTCGACGTCACGTGTTCCCCCGAGGTCACGTGACTCCCCTGAGGTCACGTGACCCCCCAAGGTCTCGTGACCTCATCACCAACTCGCCCAATCTGCAGTATTAACAGGTCTCGTGACCCCCGCCGAGGTCACGTGACCCCCTCCCCCGAGGTCACGTGACTCCCCATGACGTCATTGTCACTGATAACGTTATCAGTGACGTCACTGATGACGTCACCGGCATCCGCATCGTCATCGTCATAATCACTGATGACGTCATCAGTGACGCCACTGGACGTCATTAGTGATAATGACGATGACGATGCGGATGCCGGTGACGTCATCAGTGACGTCACTCATGACGTCATCGGTATCAGCATCGTCATAGTCACTGATGACATTATCGCCATTGTAATCGTCACGTGACCCCCCAAGGTCACGTAACCCCGCAAGGTCACGTGACCCCTACAGGTCACTTGACCCACCCCCAGTACCCTTCCCTCCTCCTCAAGAGCTGCGCTCTAATTCGGCGTTACAAAGAGTTGTAAACGGCTTTCACTTTTTTTAGCATGACTGTCTTCCGAACGTTTTTATTACGCTGCCTGTAGCGCGACGCCAGTTTCTGTAATGCACAATCTTCTAGTGTTTTGACTTGCTTGCTTTAGTGTTCAAGGTCTTTTTTCTCCAGAGCACCGTACGCATTGCCCTTGTACGTGCCGTAATGGCCCATTGTTGTACGGAGATGATCAATCGAGGCGCCGCGGTGCCGGCGCTGCATTCAAGCGTTTGTCGCGTTGCGCCATCTGTAGGTGGCACGTCGAAGTAGGCTAGCACCGTCTGCCAATACCGTCGCCCTGCGATCACCCAGGCTGGGCGGCGTCGGTGACGTTCCTCGTCTCCATATAATCGCAATAACTTCACTCGTGACATTTTTTTTTTCGTGCATCGACAACTAAAAAGCACGACACTGGGGCATATTTCGAGCGTAGTTTTCACGGAGTTGCTCGATAGCGAGCCAAGAGTCGTCGCGAACCCACCCAAACACAAGGTAAACAAAGGAGAACCGCAAGTATTTCTTTCGACCTCTCATGGCGGCCGGAAGTTGCGCGCACACCCTGTATAGCTCTGCAGCCAATGAGCTTGCAGCATCGGGCGATACGAACGTCAAAGAACAAATCAGGAAATAAACCGCGTTAGCATAAGTAACGCCCTACATTTCTTAACCTCTCAGCGACTAGATAACGTAAAAAAAAGCCCCTCTCATCCAACCACCTCTGAATAAAATAATAAGAAATTCCTTCATACCATGTGTTTTATTGTGCCGCTCCATAACTTCATTCAGGGTGCGTTTTTGTAAACAGAGTATTTCTCCAATTCAGGATTTTTTTTTTTCGCGAAATGTTTTCATTTGTCTATTGCTTGGTTGAAAACGATGGTTGACGAAAAATGTACAAAAAAATGTTATAGTCGCCGATTGCTTATCAAACTCTGGAAGTGTATTTATTACATTCACGCTTGACGCTTTATCATTTGCTTTGCGACGTTATTATTGGCTATCCCATTAACTGCGGAGCACCGCATAGTAAGATGATTGGCGCTCCTGTGATTCTTTAGCCATCAGTGGTTATGTAACGTTTTCACGTAATAAGACTCTCTGAAACTTAACTTTGGCTCGTGTTCTCTTCTGCAAGCCTACCTTGGGTTGCGAGGTCTCCTGCTGGACACTTGATAGACATCATTAAATTTCGACCTCGCGGGCAACGAAAGAAAAACAAACGTTATCGTTGTACAGCGAATCAGAAGGGCTCAGTGATCATTTTTCCGCTGGTGCAAGCACGTGCAAAGCCAAGCTTCTATGTACTATGTAAATTAAAATAAAACCGCGTGGGTAGCACGGTCCCTACCCAAAGTGAATTAAACAGAAGCACGCGTAGCGAGCTTCTCACCGCAAATATAGTCACCCACAGGCCGAGAACGGTAGGGCGTCTATATAGAATGCCCGGTTCCTGCACGCGCTCTTTGCCTTCCGTCGTGCTTCGGCTGCGCGTGCATGCTCCAGGTTTTTGAGACGCCGAAGCGTTATTGAAGGCAGGAAGCTCGCGCCGGAGGTTTCACAGCTGAAGGACTTCCCTGTCGTTCTTCTAAGCAGATGTCACCGACTAAACTCAGCGTGGAAAGATCCACTGACCTCCCTGTACAATGGGTGTTTCAGGAGTCCGGATGAATGCAAAATCAGCAATCCCTGTTTCGACTTTATGACCCAACCGCACACCAGCCACTACTGGCTAACCCACCAGGTGTTTTATACCCTCATCGGAATCAAGGTAAGCGCAGAACACATGTATAATGCCATTATTAAATGTATTGTTTTATGTCTGACGATTCTACGCAACCGACGTAGCGAGAACATAGTGATTACTGTTGTTACGATTAGGCATTTCCAAACCAGAAACGCCAATGTATGCAATGTCTAGAATCTTAAGCATATATATCTGTGGGTTTGAAGGGTGGCGCAACGATATTCAGTTGTATCGTTTTGAACTTTAAACGAGCTTGCTGGCACTATGCTCCGTTCACCCTCTTAAAGGGACACTGACATCCCCCAAAATGTTTTTCCCCTTTTTTGTTAGGCAATTTATTGGGTAGTGTTCCGATTGTCGGAACACTACCCACTTAATATTTCGCTACAGAGTCACGTATTTTTTTTTAATAAAGCCAAAAAACGCAACTGCTCAAAACCGAAACTTCCGCACCGCACGAAGAAGTGGAGAGGATAGAGTGACGAAAATAATCCCTGGAGAAGGGGAACAAGAGGGACAAAGGACAAACATAAATCTCCAAGCATAGCTAGGTGACTGGTGAGCGTCTGAAAAAATCAGCCTGGTCCGGGTATCGAACCCGGGGCCTCTCCATTACAGGTGGAGCGCTCTACCAACTGAGCTGACCAGGCTTTTTTTTTTATTTTTTTTTTATTGCATGGGAAACAAAAACGGAGAGTCAGAGCACATAAAAATATCGCACTACAAAAATAGGTCCCTCATTTATCACTACAGTTCTTTCATCTGTAACAATTTGTTAAACAATGGTACCCAATCGGGCTTTGTGTCGCGACCTTCGTACACGCTGGTGACTTGTGCTACCAGTTGAATGAAATAACAATGCACAGACTTCGGGGTCTGAACGGCATTTCGCACATCCATTCGGGATTTCCACATGCTGTATAAACTAAGGGGCATAATGAGGTCATACGGAACGGTGTCCCCTGGCTGAGCTAACTAGGGGTTAGACGTCATTAGAGCATTCTTGTCTAGCTCGCTTGCACCTTTGCATTTAATTGCATTATAAGGATAAAGTGAGTGGCGGAAGTCACGTAGCTACACCCAACCGTGCGGGATTTTTTTTTTTTTTTTTTTCTCCGCACGTAGCAGATGAAATGCGTTCGTTCGCCGTGCGATTCTTTTGCAGTTATGTTTGTTCCGCTCGCTGTTCTGTACTTCAAGATGAGTTGTTTTGGACATTTAAGTGTTGGCAATTAGTGGTGAGTGCCCGTTGTGAATTCCCGTGATTGGCTCCGAAAACAATACCCCCAAGATGTTGCGTGAAGAGCTGCCTCACATGTCCTGCATCTGAAAGTGGCAATGTGCGGCAGTGTGCACAAGTTTCCGAAAGATCAACGGGATCGGGATCAATGGCTGGCTGCAATTCCTGGAAAACAGTTACGCGAAGCTCGGAAAGCGGACGCTAGCCGATTCATATGCTCCTTGCATTTTGTGGAAAGTGACTACATTGAGTTCGCAGGTGTCAAAAATGGAATCCCATATCATTTAGTTCAGCGACGTATCGTCCACAACAATTGTTTTTTTTTTCAGTGATAATTGTAAGAGAAAGAAATGTAAACATCGCAAAATGCTTGACACACCAGGGATCGAACCCACACCAGGGATCGAATCCGTGCCCTCTGCGTGTGAAGCAGACTTCTTTCCACTTAGCTACTGAAGGGACTCAATCGTACGTAGTAATGCGGCGGGTAGGCTGTATGTCAGAAGTTTGACGCCGATTTCCCTTCAATACATGCACTCCCGGCTTGAAGTCGGGCAGCACCATGCACATGCCACATGCGCACCTCGTAAAGAAACCGTACGCGTGCGTATTCAACTCGAAGTACGCACTTCGTGCTTGACGTTTGAGCGAGCGATGTCTTCAGTCACGAGAAGGGACGATGGCTCGGCGACGTCTTCGTGCAATCGGCTTGCTGGTCGGGCGTGTCGTACGGGATGAATATCAGTTCTTTTGATCGGTCCAAAGTTTCTCTTTCGAAGAAAGACAGAATTCGTGGGTACCGTGAACGACAGTTCTGAAGTAGAGGTCCAACGCCCGTCGTCCGCTACAATCCGCTAGTCCCACGATACGCGAAACGACGCCATGTTGAGAATTGTGCAGTGAACGCACAGAATGCTTCCAGTTGTCTGTGCCACCTTTTCTTTTTTTTTTTTTTTAATCAAGGTATTTGCAGCTTTTTGGACGCCACAAAAATGGGTTTCATATTTTTTTTTTCTATTTTTGATATTGACTGTGTGCCTTCAATGACCCACGACTTTGATTAAATTTGGTGGTCGCGTCTAAACCTAAGAAAACGGCCCGTGACCACGGAAAAGACAGCGAGCGCGACTCAAACCGGCCAGTTCTCGATCGGCGGTTTTCGGGCGGAAAGAAACCGAATTTCGAGCCGCAAATTCTGTTCTGGGTAGTTGGGCTCTCATATGTGACGTACAACTAAAAACCTCGACGAGCATAAATGCCCTGTCAGTGTCCCTTTAAGCTGAGTCTAGAAGCTGCGCCTTCAGCGCAAGCTCATTGGCTTCCGCGGTGCTTTGGTTGCGCGTGCATGAGCGTTCACACTTGTGTTAGCGAGGGCACAAAGCTTGCGATCGAAGTAGCTTACACGCAACGCCACTGTCAAAGAAACTTAGTCGTAGCGGTGCAGTTCCGAGGATAAAAGCGAGCGTTTTCTTTCAATCTGTCCTTCCCGAAACTTGTTGACGCACTTCGGAAGTAAAGTATTTATATATGTTCAGGCACCATTGAAGTTAGTCTGCCTCAACGGGCGACTTTTCTCGCAGCTGTATAGTCGATGATATGTCAAGAACGAAGTAGAAGCTCCTCCCACCTCTTTCCACTATAGCAAAGCGAACGCCATGGAGAGGAGGCGACCTCCTCTCCAGCGTTCGCTCTGCTAAAGTGAAAAAATGGTGGGAGGAGCTTCCACTACTTCTTGACCTGTCACCGATAACAGATAAGAAATTTAGTAAGTACAATACAAACGCTAGCCTAAGGTCTCTAACGTGCACCCCGCAGTAGTGATACGCGACCACACGCCGGCGCGGCGCTCATCCAGATTGAGACAAGGAAAATGCAAATGCATTTTCTCGTTTCGTAGCTTTAAATCGTCTTCTTAGATTGCGCGCTCGGTTAAGGCATTTATGGAGTCTTCTCTTCAAAACAAAAATGTGTATGTATTATCTTGAGGATTATAGCATCTTTATTTTTCTCTCCTAGAATAGAAACGTTTGCACAGATTTCGGCTAGTTACTATCAATCTATATTTTATACAAAAAAAGCTATTGTATCATATTTAAAAATAAAAAAGTAGTTTGCCGAAATCTGTGCACCAAACATCTTTTTCATGTAATTGTTTCTGCCTCTGAACAACAAAACTATAAAATAGGCATCGAAACTAACGATTGTCTTAAAAATGAAATACAACTATTTATAAGTAGTTCATTATTCATTATTTTTGAACAATTAGTAAATTAAATAGTGTTTCCGAGTAGCAAAGAGGCCGTATAAAAACAATTTAAATACTCCAACTCTGCCAAGTAAAAAAAAAAAAAAAGAAATGTGCAGTGTTGTATTTTTTTACAGTTGTCTGGGTCTGCGGTGCCTCGGTTTTCTTGGTTCGTTACAGAGCGAATGCCGGGACCGTCTTTTATCGCTACTCGCTGAGCATCAGGGAGGTCTCAAAAGCTTCTTGATCAAGACGTGCAGTAACGTCATGAGGGATGCCCTCAACGCGAAGGACGAGGGCTTTCCGGAAACTCTACAGGATCTCTTCATCGAACAAAGTGAGTATTGGGACGAAATATTTGGTGGGTTTGTTGAATACCACCGAGAAAACAACGTCCGTGCATCGTCCCTTCCCTTCTCCAAGCCCCTATACCTCATTACTAGTGAGATGATCTCCATGCTTGCCTCAAGATATGCTCGCGTGTATTTAATTGAGCGCTCTTGAAGCGACCTAATGGGTATTTGGAAGAAAACAGAAGCGTTATTCTTGCCTCCAAAATAAACTACGCATCACCGTACGCTCAACGTCCGATCGCAAAAAGCGTTTGGGACCTGATGTCAAAGTTTTAAGATTTACGATAACTTAATTTAAGAAAAAAATTACAAACTATTTGGGGAAGTTATCATTGAGGAAATGGGGACCAAGGAACGGATGGAGCGAGTACACGGAGCAGGCACATAGCCAAGATTTTGTTTCGGGGGGGGGGGGGGGGGGGGAGGCCGCCGCCCATGACAAAATGCTGTATGAGGGGGAGGGGGGGAGAGGAGGTCCCAGTAAAATGTAAGATTAGGGGGGGGGGGGGCGGCCTTATGGGCCCCCCCTCTGGCTACGTGCCTGACGCGGAGATCAAAGCGTAACGCTATACCGCGAGAACGCACCCTATTTTCTAACTGAATATCGTCAATACTTTGCCGGTGACTTTTAATACAAGTTAAAGGCTACTCCCGAAACTTTGGCCTCTGGTCCGGACCACTAGCACTACATTCGGGCGGAAACTGATCGTACAGTTGTGCGTAGTTTAATTTTTGCGGTCAGAACAACGCGGTTCTCTTTATCTTATACACTTAATGCTACATACAAGAAGAAAAGAAAAAAAAAAAGCGTGAGTTGGGAGCCATCAGGTGACGCTCCCGCATTCCGTTCTATGCCTCCGCAGTTGGATTCTGCGGAATGGCCGGATTCCCAGACTTCTACCGGCCGGAGTGGATCCGGACGATCCAGTCTTGGGAAAGAGAGGACGGCTGCTTCAGCGACCACAGAGACTGGGACCCTCAGAGAGCGTGTGAGAGGAGTTTGTGTACCTCGCTTGTTTTGTACCACCGGTTGCAACGCGGATTCGCGTTGTCTTCCGTATAATACGTTGCGTGGCTCGCCATACAACGCTGCCAGTTCGGACTGACCTTGTTGGTTCAGTCTGACGAGTTACCTGTAATCGATGGATTGATCACATGTTTACGGAAAAGCCAAAATGAGTTAGAACTTCTTCGGTGGCAACGAAGCCTAGAAGAGCGCCTGGGAGAGTCAGATGTGGGTAGACTCACCAGGAATTATACATTTGTCTTCACTCCCACGCGTCATTTCTTCATTCACATTCCTTCTTTAGCTTGCTTTTATTCTTTATCTTTTATTTATTTAGGAATACTGTAAGACCAAGGGAGGGATTATGGCAGGGATGAACAGAAAGTTTTTTCACAGGTCCTTCCTTTTCCTTTCTCGTTCTTCATACACGCAAACATTTCACTAAACATTTTACGTATAAAAACAAAAACGCGTGCTCATGGCAGCAGGCATACAATGCGGTACTCAACACCGAGTGACTGAATGAAGTCATTTTAGACTGTTTATTGCTACGAAGGAAAGCTACCTAGTTGAGTTGGAATGCTGTTAACCATATCGATTTACACTGCATTGGATAAAGGGAGCAAATACTATTGGAAACCAAATGCTCTAGAATCTAGAATACGCATTCAGGTAAGGTTTTACTGCGTCCATTCAACGATTCATAGGATAGGGTGTTTCAAGAGTGTGTACTGCCTCAACAACGAAGTAAACAAAATGGCCCAGCGCAGCCGCCGGTCTCCTCGAACAACTGGATTAATTATAGTAGATTATTTTTCTTTCTTTTCAGTTGAAAACCATTTTCCTTTGCTCAGAAACAAACGATCTGAGATTTTTCTAAAAGGTGAGAACCTGTTCTTCATTTTATGTCGTACTTTTTGCTGTGGTAGACCTATACTGAAAACACAATAGCGCCGATCTTTACCACGTGGTCTTTGCTCTTTCCCTCTGTTCATTTTCAGACGACTGTAGGTTTCACAAGACAATCCTAGGCGCCATAACTATGACTACTGGACTCAAGTTTCTACTCAGTTGAAGAGCGCTATAGCTTCTCTACAGGCATCATGCGCAGCGTGGTTCGTCTAAATAAAAGGTCACGTTTACCTCTAAAACCCCGACGATCGACGATAAAAATGGCACATTACTAAAAGACGAGAAATGAAAACTCAGAGAAGAGTTTGTTCATTTAGCCCAAGCACCTGGGGTCCGATTTTGGTTAGCGCGAGCGCGAGATCTGATTTTCCTGCCACGGAGCGAACCGGCTTATCGTTCGCAGACGCCTCTCGTCTGCTGACGCGAGTGAACAACGGGATTTGCCTGCTCCGAAGCGTCCTTCGCGGATGAATACAAAACGGGAAAACGCCGTACCTCATCTGCCCAATCCGAAGTCATACATCTCATACACCATGCATACGAAAGACGCGGTGTTCGTTTGTATACAGTTTTCGTACGACTTACGTGACAAGATCTTCATAAAGAAAAAACTACACGACTTGACAGTATCTGCAGACTGTCCTTTGTATGCTGTACTTGCAGTGTAACCTCAACTTTACGGAACCGCAGAAAAAAAGAGTATCATCTGCTACAAACCGAGTGCGATGGCGAACTGTATCAGACACAGGCAGAAATCGTGATCGTCTACTATTTCACTTTGGAAGCGACTGGTTTCCTTTGTCGATCTCAAATAGTTCTGTTACCCTATACGCTAGCTGACGTCAAGCGGCGGATACAGGATACTTACGACAAACACATCGGAGACTCCGAGACCTATCCCCTCATTAGCGCGAGTTTTCAACAAAATACTGCCCGATGGAGACTCGCGAACTGGTCAAAACTTTTCTCACTGCTCATGTAGGCGCGACTAGGAGAAAATTATGAGGCCAGATCCAATCAGCAGGCGCTAATGCTCTTGATCTCACCCGGAACCGAAATTGGATCCCTGGTGCCTCGAGGGGATGATGGTGAAAACTACTTTCGTCGGTCGGGAATTGTAAACAGTAGGCTCTACGGTTCAAGATCTGTGCGGTGTTGCAGAAAATGTGTAATTAAGTGTTTAAAAAAAAAACGATATGGTCAGTTTTTCCAACAGAAGCGAACCGTTCGGATAGCATATGCCCACTCTTTGTAATGCCAGCGGCATGAAACAGCATACAAATGTGTTTTCTTTAAGATAATTTAAGATTTTTTTTTATAGAGCTGTTTTCTCATTCTTGAAGTTATCGTATGGCATTTTTTCTGTTAAAGTCTTGACCTACCAGGCAGTTAACGGGGACTTCTTTGTACAAACAATCCACCATTTTCATAAACACTCTGCCGGGTAAATATGTTAATATTTCGTAGGAGCCAAGGTTGGTAGGATCAAGTGCGCTATCAGAACCTCGATTGGCAACAAAACTTGATCCTGTTGACTTCGCTCAGCCGCAGGTACGGTGTCTGAATCGCGTCTCCAGCTGGTGTGTTTGTCGTCCAATCCCATCCATGTTTCTAAAGTGGATCCAAATTGGCGACGGATGACGTCACAAGAGCCGGAGTGTCGCGCTGGCAGATGTCGCGATCCTGGTGTAGAAGTTCTGGAAAAGCACGGCAGTACGCCAGCGGGTCGCTGTCGTCACGGCGTCCCAACCCCATGGTTGCCGAAGCTTGTGGACTACCAAGCAGGATTGCCTGCAGCATGAACAGGCGTCTGAGACGTCCACTCCCACTGCCGTGACGCCGCCAGGATTCTGATTAGAGAAGGCGTGACACTTTTATGACGTCATCGATCAGACGGAAAGATGACGTCTGATCGATGACGTCATCGATCAGACGGGACCACTTTTTAGGACGCGAACCAAGCAGTGGCCAAAAGTGCATTGTCGCGGCGCTCGGTCTTTTTGAGGGTGCGCTGTCACTGGCTTAAGCTGTCACGCACATAAACAAGCGGAGGATCGTTGGTACACTCCCTTTCCGTCTCGCCTACTCCAATCAAAAGAAACGACCATATTCTCTCGCAAGCTTTTTGACAACGTGCGGCAAGTTATCTTGAAAATTGTTGAAGTGGGCCGGAAGGACGCCGATCGTTGCGGAGAAAACCCTCCGTGCACCAGTGTCCCAGGCAAAGATACAGGCCTAGAGTGTTCCTTTCATACACCTCTTTTTCGCAACGCGGAGAGTGGGAATTTAAAATAAGAAGTGAGTTGCGTTATGATGATTAGACGCCTCACTTGCTAGGTCTTCGGCGGCGTTTTGTACTACATCAAGGTATTCTTACTGTCATTTTACTTGGGTTTGGAGTAGAAGTGGAGATGTGTAGTTTTGTTTTTTAGTTGACCAAGAAAAATCGCCTCCCCAAAATTATATTTTTTTTTTTTTTTGGGGGGGGGGGGGGCAAAAAAATTTTTTTTTGATGAGTTGGTCTTGCTGCCATAACTACTTTATATTGTGACCAATTGGTTTAAATACGCGACGCACAATCTCCAGTACACAATATATTTTGAAACACAACCGAAGAAACAAAGACAAAAGATGTTCGGGATGCGTAAACCAAAACTGAGCTCTCTTCGTCAGTGTTTTTTTTTTTTTTTTTTTTTTTTTTAGTGTGAGACAAATTTGTTTGCATTTGTTTTTCGCCGCCTGAAGACGCAACCCCCCCCCCCCCCCCCCCCCCCGGCCCCCACGCACACACACACAAAAGAAGAAAAAAAGGTTTTTCTTTCATTTAAGCATAGGCTTTGCAAGTGCTGCAAATCCTATGCATTGCAGGACTTGTTCAGTTGCACTGTGAGAACTCGAATACGTCAGCAATGAGGTCAACATGGGGGTCATCTGTAGTATTTCATTTTTTGTTTAGTGAAGTCTACACAACCTAGATGGCGTCACCGGCCATCATTGCTGCCCCTGGCGCCAGGTTGTCCACCCCTACCTTCAGGGTGTAAGGCCCCGTGCTCCAGCTCTTTGAGTAAACGGTGTCGCTTAGAACGTTCAACCGACTCGGAAGTCTATTTCTTTCCGGCGTTGGCGCGCTGGTCCCTGGGCCTCGCCGGCTGCCGCCGTCTTCAGCATGTGAGATGTTGTTTGCTTTCCGCAGGCCCGCGTTGGCTCTGCGCCTCTCCTACTTTTATTTTGTGTTTTTTTTTTTTCAATTTACAACATCTTCATCGGTTAAAGTTGATTAAAGTTCAACGACATCTGTCTATAATTCATTATGATTATAGCAGACACTCATCTTGAAAACAGAAAAAGAAATGGTGATAGGCTTATGCCGCACCAGACTTATTACATCTTAGATTCGAAAAGTGCCAGAAAGCAAGGACAACGGAAGGAATAGACGAAACGATGCGCATCGTTTCGCCTATTCCTTCCGTTGTCCTTGTTTTCTGGCACTTTTCGAATCTAAGATGTACCAACTTTCCCAACTCCAGATTCTTCTACGACTTATTACAAATCTCGAAACGCGTCATCGCGGCGTTTATTGACACGTTGTTCATTATGGGAGTCAGTGGGAAGCAAAATCCATACGCGCTCCGCTCCTGGCCCACATGTTCACCGAATGCAACGCGCTCGATGACAGTTTTATGGAAGTAGTAGTCTTTTGCATCTTGAGCATTCTTACTCGAGTCTGTTTGTTGATGGTGGTATAGGACATCGCCGTGTGGTTGCTAACGAGGTGTGTTCGTATCAGTCTTGTACAAGTTACTCAAACACAGCAATCGAATACAATTACTCATGGTTAAAGAGTATTCAATTATATTACTCGATTAATTGAAAGGAAAACTAATTGGCCATTACTTAAAGGAAGTACCCAAGTTACTCTTCCGATGACCTCATATTTTCGAAGCGACAATTCTTTATGCCGGTTCGAAAACGGTTTTTTTGTACCGTCTATTAGAGAGTTTTAGGGAACCGTTATTGCACATCCGATACGATACGATGTGCCCTCCGATACGAACTGCGCATGCGCTACCTCCTAATAAATTGTAATAAAGTAATTAAAAAAATACTCCAAGATGTAATCAATTACGAGTAATTCGATTACTTGCAATCCGGGCCGTTCTACCTTGGCTTTGTTATGCCTGCGTATAGAAAAATGCGCGCTGAGTCTGAAAATACAGAACAGGCATAGTGGCCGTCATACGCTTGTTATCTTTTTCTTTTTTTATAATAGCCCGATATCACGAGCCAGTTTCATTTGCTATGTTACCGCTGCCACGGTGCATTGAGGCACCTTCAGGCCGTGGTGGAACTTCTAATACACAAAAAAAGAAGTCTGGAGACACTGCCCGAGGGATGTTTCTTTCTTACATGACATTCCTGTGACGTTGGTCTTGAAAAACCCTCTGCAGACATGTTCGGAGCTCGTGTATGTATGAACATGAAGTAAACAAGAAGCAAACATGGTGTCATTTTTGTGACGTATGAGCGGTGCGACTAAAGCATCATAGTCTTTTTCTGCTTGCGGCAACCTTGATTTGGGTCTGCGCGAGCCGAGCACGAGACGGCACGCGCAGTCCCGGGCTCTGCCGCCGGCCCCCTGTGGATTGGTGTCAATGTGAAGGGCAAGTCGTCTGCTTCTGGCGCAGGGGTTGCGGTGACGGCAGAACGACGCCCAGTTCTGATTGGCTTTGATTGGAAAGCCTATCCACTATCCTTCCCATTTGGAAGGATAGCAGGTAGACTTCAATGCTAGATGCCTTAAAGGCGGGAGCTCAAAATTTTCTTCAGCGTGGCAGAAGATTCCCCCTCTTTTCTTTTTTTCCTCCTCCCCTTTCCTCTTCTATTTTCCTTCTCGCTTTTTCCGGCCTTCTCGCACGAGTGCTAATGGGCTTAGCGGTTCCCCCCACAAAATCTCCGTAACCCTTCAAGGTTCTCTGCTTCAATCCCAAACACCAGGGATTAGTTAGGCCGGCTGGATATGAGCTCGGAAGGGTTCGGGCTGGCTCGCTTTTCTCCTTTTTTTTTTTCTTTTTTTACTCTTTTTCTGCAGCTCTAAAACACACTCAGATAGTCAACACCAACTAGCCCAACAACAAGTTTTCTTACATTCAGATACTTCCGCGTGGGCCACATACGCTACAACACCGTATACGGTATATTTATCTCGAGTGAACGGAACTTGAACATCACAGCAGAAAGAAAAAAA